AGTCACGGGAAGGCTCTTTGCTGTGGCACTGCCTGCTCCCGCCTCGGCTGCGGCTGCCCCCCCCCCCAAGTTAGGTCCCCCAGGAGTCAGAAAGGAGAGCTGGAAATCCACCCGGCCGAGGGAGCTCGCACGCAGACCCTTTCCCTTCTCCCGTAGCCTACACGGAGGGCTGTGCTTGTCTTCTCGCTCTCGCCCACCTTGGGAAACCCGTTGCCTTGCCAGCCACCTTCCCAGTCCGCCGGAGCAAATCATTACGGGGGGGGGGGCGCGCGAAATCGATCAACTCCCAGGAGTTCCGGCGACATTCGCTGCTCTTCGCTCCCTCCAGGAGACGCGCCCGAAAGAGCTTCCTCTTGTTCCAAGCCGGGGGAGCCTCAAAAGGTTGCCCTTTCCAAACTGACACGAGACCATTAGGAGACACCCCGCCTCCCCTTTCCTTCCCTAAGTTAGAAAGCCACGGGGCGCCCGAAAGACTCCTCACCACCTGCAGAACTCTGCAACAGTTTCCTAAAAGAGTCTCACCTATATATATAAAAAAGGACTGTGGATAGTAGAAGAACCCAAGCACCTTCCTAGTCTCATTGGAAACCAGATTTGTACAGGGCGTGTGTGTGTATGTGTGAAATCGCTACAGTGGGGATGGGTGAGGTTCCTTTGGGCCGGGGGAGATTCTTCAGTCTCCTACATGCCAAGAGCAGGGACGGGGGGGGGGGGGGGGGGAGCATAATTCTTTTGTGTAAATCTGTAATAAATAATATTTTTAATGTTAAAGAGAAGTGTATAGTAATCAAAATCTTTAGGGGCAGGATGGAATGGAAACTGAGAAGGATTTGACAGTAAACAATCCAGCGCTCATTCCCCTGCCTCGCACTACTTAATCAGAGGCACCGGGTGCTTCAAGATGCTACATTTTTGAAGATGTCTCTCTAACAACACAAATTTCGGAAGGAAATGCAGTGCGGGCAGGCAGAGCCGAAGTGGCCAGATCTGGATCAGCAGTGGAGTGGCTCGGCCTCCCACCCCCCCCTCAAGCGAGGGAGAGAGAACTGGGTTTTCTTCTTCTTCTTCTTGGTGCCTTAGGGGAATTGGGGTGCCACGCAGAATCGGCGCTGCAGATTCGTGTTGGCTATTTTCCTCAACTGGTTACCTTTTTGTCTCTCTGTTGTATCCGAGTCCCAGGGATGGAATCCTGAGAGCACATTGACTGTGCATTTGAGCCTTGTTTGGGGCCTGTTGGTTCTTCTGGCAAGCTCAGGAGATGCCCTTCTAAGGTTTCTGGGAACTCTGCACTAGGGCTCTAGGAATTTCCGACCTCGGCCATCCCTCTGAAAGGATTCGAGTTTGCCTGAACTTGTCCCTGGATTTTCCACAGGTGGTGTCCATTTATTTACATTATTTATACTCCGCCTTTCTTTCAGCAACTCCAGGAGGATTACACATGAGTCCATCTAGAACTTGTGGCATCCCGTTCCAACCTCTCTGCGGTCTGCCCTGGGAAATAACCAGCTGAATTGGTCACCGTTGGCTACTTGCGCATATTGCCCTTAAGAGTTTGGGTTTCTTTAGTACCAGTAGCCAAGTCCCAAGCATAATAGTGTATGGATCCAGTTCAAGCTTATCACAGGGGCCTCCTTGCCATAAACGCAATCTGATGAGTTTTGATGAGCCTGGTTTCATATTGATAATTTATGATGTTTTTATTGCATAGTTTCTACTTGTAAGGCGACTCTATTGCTAGAACGGCATACATAGTCACGTTCATAGAAGACTACTGAGATATCCCTACCCTTCCCTCTTTGGGTCCCGTAGTCACGGTTAATTTCTCTATTAATGTCATGGCCCATCACTTTGAGACTCTTTTGGTGAGTGGGCTGTGGTGGTTACTCAGGGCAGTGAGCGAGGCAGGCACTTTTCTTATGTGCCAAGGCAGGGTGGCCCAGGCAGGAGAAGCGGGAGCAACCGTGGCAGGCGGCTTAGGGGGTTCAAGGCAAGAGACCCCTCGTGCTCCTTCGCCTCCCGTAGAAATACGAACCAAGGCTGACGCTGCTTAGCTGCCGAGATCAGGCCAGGCTGGGCTACCGGTGTGACAGCATATATATATATATATTTAGTTTTCATGAAAACGAATGGGATTGATCTCGACCTTCCAGCTAGGTTGGGCCGAGCGAGGTTTGAATGGAGGCCCGTTATATATTCTGAAGTCGCTTAATTCTTGCTTGGAGGCTGAGAAGCAGAATGAAGCAGGACGATAAAAGAATTCCCATTCGCAGGGGAGCCGCCAGGCCCACGAAACATGCCGCGGATCTGACCCTATATGCTCCCCCCCACCGGACCCCAGAGAAAGAGGTTGCCATGCAATCCCGAGTGGCCGCATCAGTCTCGGACCCAACTGGGGCCTGGTTTTGCAACCCCCCCCCCTCTTCTTTCATTTCGTTTCTTTTAACTGGGGAGTCGTCGTCTCCTCCTCCTCCTCCCAGGCCGCCGAATCCAAAAGCCTGGGCCGCCAGCCGCTCTGAAAGCCGGCCTAATTGGCCTGCGGCAGCGCCCAGCCATTCAAACACAAGAAAAGGGCCCTGGCTCGGCGGCCCTCCCGCC